ACACATCTGAGGAGTTATAAACACCAGTGGAATTTCAGGGTTTTATAATACTCTATTTCCAACTTTTTGAGGGAATATCTGCTTTGCACAGGTTGAACCATTTTTGCATTTCTGCTAGCAATGTCTGAGAGTGCCAATTTCTCTACTTCCTGACCAACACTATTTTCTATTATTTTTTCCATCCTAGTGGGAGCAAAGTGGTATCTTGTGGTTTTGATTTGTATTTCACTAAAGACTAGTGGTAAAAATGAACATCTTTTCATGGGATCATCAGCTTTTCTTTGGAGAAATAACTTTTTAAGCCATTTGTAAATTGGGTTGTCTTTTTGTTCTTGGGTTATAAGAGTTTGTATATATTCTGGATACTAGAAAAATATATGAATGTATATGATTTGCAAATATTTGCTATCATCTTTGTGTTGTCACATGATGATTTTGCTTAGCCCCGCCCCCTTACATGAAGGCATTATTAACAGTCCTGAATGTTCTTTCACTCCATATTTCCAAAAGAAAAGATGACAATAATAAACATCAAAATAGGAATTCAGTAAAACAATGGGGTAAGATGTAGGGAGGATAAAGGGAGAGAATTTTCTTAAATGTCTGAAGTTAATGGTCTATGAGAAAAAAAGAATTCAAAATATGGAAATTATTTTTCTGGAAATCAGTGTATTCATTACAAAAAAAGATGGAAGATGAAAGAGGATGGAAAATTTAAAGCAAAAAAAGATATTTTTCCAAAAAAATTATTATGCAAATTTGATATTCATATGCAGGTTAAGCAATCATGAGACAAAATTACAAGAAATTTAAATTAGCATATTTTTTTAGGTTTGAGGTCCCTTTTGGTAACACATATACTTGCACTTAAAAGAACTTTTAGTAAACCAAATGTGAATTCTCAATATGCTTGTATTTATGAAAAAAAAGAAAGGAAAAATATGAATGAACCTAGTGAAAGCCATTCTCCCTAAACAGACTGCTGATGGGGGTACAGATAGCAAGCACCTTCTAATCTTGCTGAAAATTGAAGAAAAACAAAGTAGAGCTTGCAGCTTTTAGAACTGCCAGCTGAATGAAATCTGATTACCTCCATATGATGTGTACCAACTTCAGTTAGCAAAGTTATGACTACAGTTCTTTAGCTATACAATTTTCAACTTGCTCTAGTAAAGATAGATGTAGAGGACTGTTTTTAAATCATCAATTATATTTTATTCATATATATACCAACACACTGAAAGGCAAATGCTGAAAATGCAACTTTTAAAGTCTAGAGAATTCAACTTCTTAAAAGAGAAGTAGAAACACACTTTCATATGTGTTTAAATATATTTTGATAGATGACATTTAGTTTTGATTGTAATAGATTATTATTGCCACTACCTGTGTGTTATGAGTATTATAGTTTCTCAGAAGAGACTAGTAAAATAGTTTAGACTGTCTGTTAAGGACAGTGAGGAAATTTCTTTTTATTTCCTCTGCAGGGAACAAAACCATCTTAATATCTCCCAGGAGCAAGTCCCATAGAGAAGTTCATAAGTAATTGTCAACTTATTTTGAAAAATTTCAGTGCAACATACTAAGTACACAAAGAAAAAGAAAAATAAGTTAGGGGAAGAGGCAGAGCCATGTAAGGGAACTCTGAGTACTAGAGACATTTACCATATGATGTAGCAATGAAATAGGTCATCTTTCCTTAACTTTTAAGGAATAAAAGACATAACAATTTAAAAAAAGAGGATGAATTTGCTTAAGTTCCATAGTTCACCAACTATGAAGTAGACTTTGGGGTGAAAAAAAAACACAACAGCACTACCAGGTTACCCAATCAATTCCAATATGAAATGCTCAATCATTTTTTTCTTTAAAAATTTTTTTTTAGTTGTAGATGAACACAATATCATTATTTATTTTTATGTGGTGCTGAGGGTTGAACCTAGTGCCTCACACGTGCTAGGCAAGCCCTCTACCACTGAGCTACAGCCCGGCCCCATCATTTTTTTCTTCATAAGCAAACTCTTGACAAATTGTGGGTGTTTTGGAGAAAGGGATAAATGGAGAGTGGATGGAGGGTGTGGTAGGTACTGCCTATACTAAGTACTGCCTGTACTAAATACAAATCATCTGCATCATTTGTTTTTAAATAAAACATTTAAAATAACACATAATAATAGAATAACACATAAATCAATGTAAGCTGTCATGGAAAAATGGTATCTAACCATGTGGAGATTGATGCTCAGCTCAGACAATCATAGGCTTCCTTCAGTGGACCCCAGAGCTACTAGCAGTATGGTGGGCAGGCTTTGGGGTTAGGTAGGTAAGTTCAGGCAAATTGACATTCTATCCATATGGATGGGGAAAGTCAGCCTAGTAGTAAAATGAGAATAGTAATTATGTCTTCTTTATGGGGTAGCTGTAAAGATTTAATGAAATCGTGCATGTGAAACTCTTGGCACAATGCCTGGAACACAGTAAGCTCTCAATAAATGAGAGCTAATAGTATCTTCTAAGAAAGTGACACATCTGAAAAATGAAGTCTCCCCTTGGCTTCTCCTGGCCTAATTTTAAGTCCCAGTCCTCTGGTGGTTTTTCTGGTCTCTCCCTCACACTAACCCCTTACATGGGCCTTAAACATCACTGCTCATAGATTTTATCATACTCATGTTTGCTTATTCAATTCTTTGTCCAATTTATTTGTTTTACCCCAGATACCTTTGGCTTGTTTGAGGGAATGGCAATAATATCTGACACTTTGGTGACTCCCTAGTACCCAACACAAAGCAAAGTACATTGACAGTGCTTTGCATGTGTTGGATTAATAATACATCGACACTGAAATTTTGTTAACTTATTAGTTTAAGTTAGTAAATAGTATATTTAAATTCATAATTTTATGTAGCTAAAAAATAAACAAATGACCTGCAAGAAATAAAGTGCAGTACTTGGAGAAAGATTTAGAGAAAAGAATAAGGTGTTAGGGAGGGAGGGGGAACGTGGAGTAGAATTTATTCTTTATTTGACTTTGTTGGGGTGAACAGTGACTAACGTTTGAGGCTTCCCATTAAGTGTCCAATGGTTGTTTAACCCAGAGCATCTTTGCTATGAATAAAACTGCTTTGTATTCTGTGGTTGTAGACTTGGAAGGGACCTTAATTTTCATCACCTCCTCTGCTCCACTTCGTAGACTGAGAACAGCAACACTTGAGAATTCTTTACTGGTAGGGCTGGGTCTAAAATTCAAGATCCTCTGACTACCCTACCTTGTAGGAAGGGGAACTAGTTCCTTTAAAAATAAGCGCGGTTGCTTTAATAGCGTCAGCACCTGTTCTTCCAGCTTCCGAAAGACAGAAGCTATTAATTTCTCTTTCATCAAAGCCGAATTTCTGGTGTGTCTGAGCTTCGTTTTCGCCCAGGCTGCAGCTGTCTAAACCACTGAGACCGAATGCTGGACGGAGGCACCTTTCTGCTGAAATCTGTTCAATCGCCACACCCAGATACAGAAAAAATAAAATAAAATAAAGTGACACAACTCATTCAGTCGGGAGCCAAATTTGGGATGTCTCTTAGTTCGTCCACGCTCCTTATGGTGGAAACCAACACAGCCCAGGAGGGACAACGCTGCCACGAACAACCGAGTGTTTCCTTCGGCGGGCCAGGATATCAGCGGCTGGAAGGTGAGAAGTACAGGTCATTTGAAGGGCGATTTCATCATCTGCAAAACTGAAAGAGATTATAATCCTTTGGGAAGTTTTGAGAACCAAATATCTTCACTAAGCACGTTTGGGTTGCTTCTGTTATCACCACTGTTGTTATTGTGCTAGCAAGGCTTGGATTGCTTAAATTGTTTTCTCCCGCGCCTATTCCAGCCAGCCTCTGCCTGCCCATGGCCACACCTTTCGGTGTCCGAAAGTGAAGGGCTGCTGGGCGCCTCTGGACATCCAGGGGAGGAGGGAAGCCCGCGCAGCACGCATGCGCGCCAGGGAGTCCCCGGCCTCTCATAAGAGCACAGCGCAGCGCCGCACCAAGTCGAGTCGGAGCTGGCCTGGCGCCGCGCGCAGAAAGTGTGCAGACGTCTGCGGAGCTCGGCTTCTCCCTTAGCCTCGAGGACTGAAACTTCCGTGGGAGGCTCCTATCGGCGCTCACCTCCTGAGGGCGCACTAGCGAGGGGGAGACGGAAAGCCGGACGGAGGCTGCCTGGCGCCCGGGGAATCGCGCTACAATCGAGGAGCCAGGACCAGCAGTTCGCTTGGACCCGCGCCCAGCAGCAGCAGCCGCGGCGGCCGCCAGCTGGGCAGACCCTCGGGGCTGTAGCGGGAGGTACGCCGGGCCCTCTCCGGTGTCCTGGACGCTCCCGGGGCGGCATGCGTTGGGAGGATTGACCGGTAAGGGGAGCGTGGGAGCCGCAACGCCGAGGACTGCCCGGGCGGCGTGGCCGAAGCCATGTGGACGGAGTTCGGAGCTGAGGAGACTGAGCGCTGCCGGCCGCTGCACTTGCTGCTCGGAACCCTGCGCGCGCTGCCCGCTTTCTTTGCGGTTTCTGGCTGCCCGCGAAATGAATAAAGAAGGGGAGATGCACCCCACTCGCGTACGGGACTCCCACGCTTAAACCCCGGGGCAGTGACCTGGCTTCAGATCTGCAGCGGAGTGCCCAGCAGTCATCGGCTCCAGTGAGCGTCCCCTCGGGGATGCACGGGGAGGGTCTGGTTGCGGGTGAAGCCTCCAGGGATTGAAGGACAGCAGCCCCGGACGCCCTCTGACTCTGCACCTCGAGATTCCCAAACAGCTAGTGCCATTGGGACGGCAAGTCCTGGAAGGGACCTGGTCTCCCAGCTTTCGAAGGGAATGACTTAGGAGCCCTAGCCTTATAGCCTGGCGTCGACGGCTCCCGAGGTCGCGGCAGAGGGGAGTGGCTTTTGTGGAAAACGCCGCCGAAGCGATAGTCAGCGAAGAGTCCCGGTATTCACGGGGCACAATTCTCCGAGAATACTCTGTGTTCTCCGGAGGCTCTTCGCCTGCGCCCAGGGTGGTGCCATGTGGGGCGGACGCCGCTCAACCGCCGCCTCCTCCCTGAACACCGCTTCCCTCTTGCAGCTGCTGCTGGCTGCGCTGCTGGCGGCGGGGGCGCGGGCCAGCGGCGAGTACTGCCACGGCTGGCTGGACGCGCAGGGCGTCTGGCGGATAGGCTTCCAGTGCCCCGAGCGTTTCGACGCCGGCGATGCCACCATCTGCTGCGGCAGCTGCGCGTTGCGCTACTGCTGTTCTAGCGCCGAGGCGCGTCTGGACCAGGGCGGCTGTGACAACGACCGCCAGCAGGGCGCGGGTGAGCCTGGTCGGGCGGACAAAGACAGCCCCGACGGCTCGGCAGGTAGGGTTACCTGGGGCCCAGTGCGCAAGGGGAGAGCAGTTGGACTTGTATGGAGGGCACTGATCTGAGAACTTGGAGAAGGAGAAGGAGATAGGAGCACTGAGATTTCAGGAAAGGGATTAGGACCAGGAGGTGGAGCCTACATTCTTTCCCATCCATTAATTTGTGCGAAGTAGGGCACCAATTCGTTGCCCTTGGCCTCAGTTTCCCCATAGGTCCGCTAAGGGGTGGCAAGGCTTAGATTTTCCGAAACAAATCACACACCTACCGCAATGTGGCCACGCACAGCTCCCAAATTTCTTCTGTCCAGGGTCCTCTGCCCCTCCCGTGTGACCTGTCTGCGTAGGACTTAATATCTTGGGGATACACAAGGACATGGTGAGCACTTCCTTGAAGGCTTCTCCGAAGGAAGGCAGTTCCTGGGGTTTTTGGAGTGGGTGATGTACACTTTATCAGACCTCAGGGAATTCAAACCGTCTGCACCTCTCCCTCCTGCCCTGGCCGGGCCTCTCCTTACCACATGGACTTGGTAGGTGTGACATTGCTCTTTGTGTCTTAAGATTTTTTAAAAAATTATGTATATAAAATTATATATATGATCATAAATACATACAGACACACATATATACACACGCGCACCCATATATGTGTATATGTACAAACATACACACACACGTGTGTGTGTGTATAGATTTTTTTAATTGCCAAAGCCAGATTTGGAAATAAACAAACCTACAGAAGAATTTGATAGGTTACATTTCCTCCACTCTTTGGAAGCCTTCCCAGACTGCCTCCCTGGAAAGTCTGCACTTATTTGCAAGAGAAAGAGCGGGTAGTTTGGGATTGGAGAGGGGTAGAGTCAAATGGCAAGCATGTCTCAGAGATGGTGTCTCATTTTTCTGTAGTTGTATTAATTAACTGACTTTATACCAGCACCCAGTGGTAGAACTGCCTGGACATTGACACCAAGTAGGTTCTGTGTTGGCCTGGTAAGAGACAGCTCTTTTCAGTGTCATTCTCTGTAATTAAACATTTTATTATCATACTACTCCTTGATGCTCTGCCTTGAATCTGAAGAGAGGAGAACTGAGGGTAATTCTAGAAAAGGTGCCATCTTAAAATGCAAGCCCAGCCTTGCAAAGTGTGTGGCCTCGGAGTAAAGCCTGGAGAAATGAGCCAAAGCCCAAACTGCTACAAAAAGGTGTCTGTTAAGTTGGGCCCATTAATGATCTCTAAAAGTTGGGATGGCTTTGGACAGATCAGCAGGCATCACACTAGTCCTGATGCTTGTGTTGCATGGGTGCCTTCTTCATTCCTCTTTTAAATCTATTTCCTTAAATCCTGTTTCTTTCACATAGCCTCAGCGGTGAGGAAGGACGACCTGCCTAATTAAGCCTGTGGGGGGTGGGGGGAGTGGGGCTTATAGTAGCCCTGCATTCTTTACCCCTGTGTAATTATTTACACTTCCAATTAAAAATCCTGGAAAGAGAACAGTTATTTCTCCCCAAAACTCATTATGTAGACTGAGACTGGTTTGAGCTAGTTTTTGCTCTAGTGTTGGTGGTAAATTATTATTTTTCTCTTTTACTATTTTTTTTCCTCTTGATAACATATTTGGGACTGGTGTCTTAATGTAGAGAATGAAATGTTTATAGTATGTGTAGGAAAAAGTTGGGCATCCACTGCTCTAGCCCTTCATAGTTAGCCTGCAGTGATAGTGTAATCAGAATAATACTGCTTCCTTGGGCGGCTGTGCTGCACACTGTAGCAATACTCTGCCTGCCAGAATGGACACTATATATAGAACTGGCTCTGCTCAGCAGTGAAATTCAGGGAGATCTTTCATTGTCAGCCTTTGGCTAAATTACTCAAAAGTAGGTTTTACTTATAAGGTATTACTTCTCAATGATTCCAGGTGATGCTGGATTCTAAAAACACCGATTCCAGGAATACAACAGTCAAAGGAGAATAATTAAAAAGCCCACTGCACTAAGGGACAGTCAAAGGGTATTTGCAGATCTGACCTCAGAGGTATGGGCTTCTTCCTAAAATGCTGCCCATCTGATCTTGTGCTGGCACTGTGGTTTGCCAAGGCAAGATCCAGTGTATTTTTCAATCAAATAGGGAGGTCGGGGGATGCAGCTAGAGGTAGAATGCTTGCTTAGCATGCTCAAGGCCCTGGGTTCTGTCCCTAGTACCTGCAAAAAAATAAAAAATAAAAAAGAAGAAGAAGAAGAAGCCAGGGAGATGGGACAGGAACATATCAAAAACATACCAGGTTCTAAAGCATGGAGCGGAATTCTATGGAAGTGGCTCAGATTTCTTCTGCAGGTTTCCCCTTCCTGTTTCTGTCCCCACCAGCCTACTTTCTAAAGTGTCATCTCTGTGACTCCCAAAAGACTTTTTTTAAAAAAAAAAAAAGAAAATAATTTAAAAAATGGAATTCACTACTGGTTTTAGTAAAGTGGTTTTTTTTTTTTTTAAATCTTATGGTTTTATTTTTCAAGAATAAAACCTAAATAAATGCTAAGTATGATGAATACCATGGTTCTCCTCTACAGACTTTGCATACAACCTTGGGTGCAACTGAACCTCTAGGCATCCTCCCTGCACCCTCATCCTTCCTGCATGCCTTCTTGGCCCTTGGTGGGCAACTCCTTTGTAGAACAAATGGATTTTTGTTCCTGATATTTGTTCTCAGTATACTTTTTCTTCTACATCGCAGTTTCATTACTAGATGCCCCACACTGGGCAGGATGCCTCACCCAAGGACCCACCCCTTCAACAGACAGGAGTGTTTAGAAGTTTCTGCTATTTTTAACTGACACATAGTCATTGTACATATTTATAGGGCACAAGGTGATGTTTCATTCATGTAAAAATTGGGTAAGGATCAATTCAGGGTAACTAGCACCTTAAACTTACATCATTTCTTTATGATGAATTCATTCAAAATTGCCTCTTCTAGCTGTTTTGGGATATAAAGTGCATTGTTTTTAAATTGTACTCACCCTACATAGCTCACCAGAGCTTATTCCTCCTATCTGAATACAAACTTGTATCCATTGATCAGTCTTTCCATCCCCCGGACCCTTCCTGCTACTCTCCCTAGTCTCTGGAAACTACTATTCTACTTTCAGTTTCTGTGAGATGAACTTCTTTAGATTTGTGGAGACTTTTAAACCTTTCCTTGATTTCTCATGCATTATACTCTTTTTTGGAAATAATAGTGGCTCAGAGTCTGACCTAAATTGTTATTTATCTACTTATGGAAAAAGAACTTGCTAAAAAAAAAAATGGCAAAAGACATTTTCAAGGAATGTAAGAAAATTTCCTGGAAAAAAAAAAAAAGAAAGACTTAAGAAATTCAAACTCATTATTATTTGATACATCCTACTAAATCTGCTAGGGCAGATTTAAACTTAGGTAGTTCCATTATTATAGGAAGATTAGAATCCTAGCAATTTTAATACTTTAAGCCCATGTTTTGCCATCTTGGGTATGTCTCAATCATTATAATTGATGACTTTAACTGTAAATATTAACACTTCCCCTTCTGAGAGTCAATCTAGCATGTCCATAAGGTCCTGGCACCTCTCCTCGATACTTGATAAAAGATGGTACATCTTATGTACTGCTAACATGTGAACTAACCAGTCCAGGTTAGGTCCTTTGATTCTGGACATCAGTGTGGCTTATTTATTGTTGCCTCCACCAGTCACCCATTTTAACTGCATTCTTATAGTAAGTCATAATGTTTCTGTCCTTTTCTCCAGTGCCCATCTATGTGCCATTCCTGATCGTCGGCTCTGTGTTTGTGGCCTTTATCATCTTGGGGTCCTTTGTGGCAGCCTGTTGCTGCAGATGTCTCCGGCCGAAGCAGGAGCCCCAGCAAAGCAGAGCCCCGGGGGCCAACCGCTTGATGGAGACTATCCCCATGATTCCCAGCGCCAGCACTTCCCGGGGGTCATCCTCCCGCCAGTCCAGCACAGCTGCCAGTTCCAGCTCCAGTGCCAACTCAGGGGCCCGGGCACCCCCAACAAGGTCACAGACCAACTGTTGCTTGCCTGAGGGGACTATGAACAATGTGTATGTTAACATGCCCACAAATTTCTCCGTGCTGAACTGTCAGCAGGCAACCCAAATTGTGCCACATCAAGGGCAGTACCTACATCCCCCATATGTGGGGTACACAGTGCAACATGACTCTGTGCCCATGACACCTGTGCCCCCTTTCATGGATAGCCTACAGCCTGGCTACAGGCAGATTCAGTCCTCCTTCCCCCACACTAGCAGTGAACAGAAGATGTACCCTGCGGTGACTGTATAGCTCACAAGTCACCCACTGGATTCCCTTATAAGGCTGAGAAAAACTGGGATGGATTCTTCAGATGGAAGCCTGTGCATGTCAATGGTATTTATGGCACAGTTGTTTTGTGTGGCTTCATTTGCCCCCAAACTGTAGGAAACATCTCTGAATTAGCGTTTCTGGATGTGTTTCATCCCAGTGTATGGATGGATTCATGATGGACAAATAACATCCACTGGAGCTGCCACCTGTGTTGTTGATGTGACAAATGCTTGAGCCCTTAAGTGCCCTTGAGGTGTGGTACCAGAAGAATTTTGTACACTGATGAATTAAGGGATTTATTATGTCATCATTATTATTTCTTTTTGTTGTTGGGTTTTAACTATACAAGAATAGAATACTCACCTCCCTTTTACCTGGGCCATTTTTTTTTTCACAAGCATCTAAGGTGAAGGGAAGACATGAATAACACAGTTATTATAAAAAGAAACCAGTTTGAACTCTATGAGATTAGTCATCAATCTCACTATTCCATAGGCACATCTTATTTCATTGTAAAAAGATATATATATTTTGTCTATTTTTGTGCTTTTTTGCCCTATTTTGTGCTTTTTTTTTTTTTTTTACCTTGTGTAGAGACCTTATTACCAAATGATTTTCTACATTATAAAGAGACTGAAAGAAATTGTGTAGTTCCTTAACAAATGAGGACATTTCAGAACTCTGGGATTATTTTAATCTTGAAGTAGTGGGTGGTCTAGTAATGAAACCATTCATCTCTTTCTTGATGGTATCTCAATATTCTGGCTTTACTGGGACGTCTGAGAAGTAATTGGATTTTTTAAAATACTGAAATCATAAAACCATCACCTACTACTTCTCTGGGTTGCTTTTAATTTTGCCATGCATATGGCTTGGCATTTTGTTCTGCTTGATTTTCAGATCCCCTTGTCTATGTAGCAGTGAGGGCATAGTTATAAATGAATATCAGTATTTCTACCTAGATCTGATAAAACATTTTTTTGTGTTTTAATCATAAAAATTCAAAGGAATGTTTTGTATAGCTTCTCAGTTATAACCTGAGACATGGAGTGAAATTTAAACCTCAGACATGGCATTACTTTGCAAATCATAAGGCTTTTATACTCTTGTTAGCAAAAGTAGCATATTTTTCAAGGAATAAGGACAATTAAGTCAAGAGAAAAACTTTTCAAAGAGATATTGCCTTTGTTCCCCCACAGTTCTTCTTATTCTTTTTCAGGCCTCAATAAGCACTGTATTCATTGCCAATGTTTTGAATTACCACAATCAAGTGGATTTATTTGTGTATTACTTACTTATTAAAAGTTTTAAGTATATGCAAGTAAATTTTCAACTGCTAGCAAAACAAAGATTTGTAATTAAACAAATCATTGTAAGATATGGTCTTTTACACATTTATGTCAGTGGCTACCTGTCATCTGTTCTTCTATCATCTATCTCATGACTGAATAATGTTAAGCCATTGTTGGCAACGGGTATCAATAAAGATACTCAATCATAATTTTTAATAACCAAAGGCAGGGGAAAAACATTGCTTATTAATAAATATTTTATGGTGTGAATTTCTAAGAGAGTTGGTTTTTTTTAAGTTTTCATTATACTTGGTAATTTTTCAGATGTTCTAGTAAATCTGTTAATAAAATACAATTACTAAAAATCATAAAATATTGCTTTCTAGACCAAGAGACTACTTTTAAAAGTAATCAATATCTAGGAGGTTTGGTTGCATGTTCTGTGTGTGAGTCAGTAAGTATCATTTTACATATTCTGTGGGACATGTTGAGAACACAAAAGACGCAGTTCTTTTGGGATCATGATGTCATCAAGCTAACTTGTATTCCCAATATTGTTTTTGACAGAGAATTTCTGCTTACCTAAGGAAGTAAAATTCTTAGAAGAAAGGGACCTTAGAAATCACTCACCATAGGGCTTGATGAACATTTTCAGTGAAGAACCAGAGAGTAAATATATTAGGCTTTTTGTGGTCATTTAACTAAAGTAATAGCACAAATATAGCTATAGATGATACATAAGTAAATAGGAAAGGCTGGACTCCAATAACACTTAATTTATAGAATATACTATATTTATATATAGTATATATTTATGTCATATGTCATAAAGATAATTTATAAAAAATTTCCCCAACCATTTCCAAAGGTAAAACCCCTTCTAAGTTCCTGGGCTTTAAAAAAGCAGTCAGTGAGCTGTATTTTGCCCATGGACTATATAGGTGGCTAGTCTTTAAACTGATGCCTTTTCCTTACTAGATAAAGGAGTCACCTCTGTGATGTTCTTGACAGGCTTTTAAATTTTTCATTATTTTTAAATTTGGGTTGGAGATTGATGCTTAATCACTGAGCCACATCCCTGATCTTTTTAATTTTTTATTTTAAGACAGGTTCTCCCTAAATTGCTTAGGGCCTTGCTAAATTGTTAAGGTGGGTCTTGAACTTGTGATCTCCTGTCTCAGCTTCCTGGGCCGCTGGGATTAGAGGCATGTACCATTGTGTGCAGTTTGAAAGGCTTTTTAAAACAGAGGAGTGGGCAGTACTTGCTACTCTGTTACAAGATTGTTACTTTTTCCTCCTTTTCCTATGCGGTGGTAATTAAAGTAAAAATGCACTTTAATAAATGAAATGAGATTTTTTTTTTTTTCCACTCAATGAATGCTACTGGGTCTTTCCAAACATAAAACACCATGAGAGGCAATCTCAGAACTTTGGTTCAATCTTAGTAAGAACTACAGAAATTTGGCAAAACAGGTGTTCAAATGCCTGGATTAAATGTATCTTCCTTGCTCTCATGAAATATAAAAAATCTGAACTTGCAAGGTATAATTTCCACTCAGTAGAAATATTTTACAGTCTATGGAAAACTAGTTTGCTGCTGCACATTTTCTGAGGTATCTAAATCTTTACTGTTTGTTCGTAATAGTTCCAGGGGAATCTCTGTTTTTCAAAGAGAAAAATCAGATCTTTGATTGCAAGAAAGAAGCTCCTGTGTCTATTAAAGAGTGGAAATTACAAGTCTATAATTTATGCTACTGCAGAAGAAAATTAAAATATACCCTCTCTCAAGCTGGGAATGTGGCTCAGTGTCCAGGATGTGGCACTTGTCCAATATGCTGGAGGTCCTGGGTTTTGTGCCCAGATGAATTAAATAATGATGTCAACAGCCAAGTGGTGAGAAGACCACTAAGACAAATATGGTTTAGCATATTCACTCTGCAACAGGCCCCTTCCCATAACCTTCCTGTTCTTAAGTTTCCATAAGCTTAACTAATTCTGTTTCGTCTATTAAATTTATCTTGAGCTCATTCATTCAAGATTGCACAGTTTTACTTCATGAGTTCTGTGACCCATACTTACCTTGTTCTGTTATGAACTAGGATGTGCGTTTCCTTCAGAATCATCTCCTGAGGAAACACTAAATGTTAGAACAAGGTTTATGATGCCAGGGTTGGAGCTGTAGATCATGGCAGAGGACTTGGCTGGCATGCCTGAATGCATGAGGCCCCGAGTTTGATACCACACATATACACAAAGGTTCATGATACCAGTCAAAGCAGATGTTCATAAATGGACTGACCTGCAGAGAAGGTTTGCATGCTGCTACACATTGAGATAGAAAAGAAATTGAAATAATATGTTCTTTTCTTAGTCTGACTCCTACCTAGTAATAGCAGAGTGATCTTTTAGTGCGAGTATCCCTACCACACTGTTCTCAGTGATTCACTAAAATGGGTTAGCAGGTAAATAAAGGTTAATAAACAGCATGTTTGCTTTTAGTTGGTTGAACTTCCTAAATGCTAAAAGGAATAAATTTAATTGACTTCAGAATTACTATTTCCATTATCTTAGTCTGTTTTTTTCTGATTAGTCAGAATGTCTTCATTAAAATATGTAATTTTAATATTAAAATGTAATTTTACTACCATGTTACTACATGGAGCAGATCTCTATGCCTGCCATATGCATGAGGAGCTTATTGGTATTTGGGGGGAGAGGTGACAGGGTGCAGAGAAATTAGACTCACCTTGTCAGTCATTCAGAAAGAAAACAATCAAGGCATGCTTTTGCCAGCTCTACAGGACTTCCCTGGATTACTGCTCAGTAAATAATGTGTTTGTAGTATTGGCTCAATGCATTTTTAAAAAACATGATCATTTCCCTTTTGTGCTTAAAAAACAAGAGAACAATCAAAGCCTCTGAGGAAGTCACATATCACTGGTCTTGGACGGAGGAATCTCAAGGCATGAAGTGGATGGTGATGCTAAACCTAACAGGGAATCAAGACTCTTGGGGTCCTGCCAGGAAGGCCCAGGTGAGGGGCTGGGCCTGGCCACTGGTCAGGCACAATCTGGTGTTCAACTTTTAGAGCACCTTGCATGTTTAAAAGGGGCACCTCTGATAGTCCAAGGAGGAATGAAGCAGGTGTGCACAGGAGAACGCCCTTCCTCCTCGCTCCATCTCAGTGCTTGTCTTCTGCTTACGATGGTGGAGCCAGAGGACATTGTCTGATTCATTGCCATTCCTACTCCCCACCAGAAATCAATCAACATTTCTTTGCCTTTTGAAATTTTTTTCTTAGTTAACTGAAAGAAAGGATGTTACTGTGATTCAAGTGTCTTCTAAGGGTTAAGTAAAAGATAACAACCAATTAGACGATGTTAACACCTTTCTGGAAAATTATGGCATTAAACTTGGTGAATTTGTTTTAGTGTGTAGATTTTCTTTTGCCTCCTTTGCTCTGTTCTTCTGTATAGAATCATTTAACAGTGGAAAATAGAAGAGTAAAACCCTAGGAAAATCCTCAGTTACTCCAGGCAAAGATGTGAGGTACTTTTGCATACCACTTATAACCCTACACCACCATGACAGAATAACTTTGAGATAAACATATGAAGTTTTGAGCAGGGATCTGGTTCTGAGGGTCATGCTGCCACTTACAGTTAAACCTTTAGAATGTCTTCAACATTTATACCCACAATTGAAGGTCCTAGATCCAAATCAAGACAAGAAGTTAAAACTTAGTGCTCTTTTACATTTCTAAAT